CCCGTTCCACTTCTGTGTTGGTCTTCGGATCTGCACCTTTTGCTCTTTTAGACTAGTACGGACATGAGCCTGATCTGCTTGTTTCTGTGGTTGTTGGTTTTTGTTTGTGTTTTGGGTGGTTTTGGGTTTTGGTTTGGTTCCGCTGCTCGTGTTTGTCAGGCTCATTCCTCACACTCCCCATACGAATTCGACTCGGTGACTTGTGCCTCTCGGCACACATAGCGCCCCTACCCGTGCAAAAAAAATGGACTTGAAATCCGCTTTCGCGCCAGCAGTCTCACGCCGTGCCTTCTTCGACTGCTACTAGGGGACCCCAGACAGAGAGGAGTGGCAGACGGGCAGCGAGCTCGCCGCACGCTCCTTCTCAAAGCCCCCATTGGGCTGCGAGCCCCCAATATCTGGTACATGCCACACGAATTCCCTGGGGTCTTTCAGGCGCTCCTTCACCACGGTCGAGGCATTGGGCACACCGATCTCGAAGACGCAGCAGTTGCTGTAAGCCACCGGCCTCTGGGTGGTAGTTGGTTCCGCCCGGATAAAGTCAAGGCGGGGTCTCCGTTCGCCCGCACGTTGCAGTCCACATACAGCGAGCTCTCCAGTGTTGATCTGGACCTTCCGGAAGGACTCCTGGTCGGTCTTGGGTTTGCAGCCACAAGCCCGGATAGTCCACTGGACTTTCGGCAAGCGCAGAGCGCAGCAGAGAGATCGGGGGTGGCCAGCCCGCATTGCTGGAGCTTAATGCTGCCGACAAGTGCAAGGGCTGCCCAAGAGGTCTACGAGCCTTTAATAGGAATTCAGTACCCTGTGCTTTGCAGCCGCCTGGGCGACACCTGGCAAATAGGCACCACCTCAATACGGGAAGACCAGCTGATTGCCTCTGGGCTGCGATTCGTCCAGTGGCGCCATGCCTCGCCCAACGTAGATGCAAGAAAGGAGCCCAAGAACAACCCTACGGTAAGGGTCTACCAGCACCTCGAAGATGAGCTGACAAGAGCAGGGGCTGGAAACGAAGGCATCTTGGCCCTCACAACTACTCGAGAAGGAGCTCAAAATCCACGCAATTACTTTGACATTGCCTGGAAGAAGGCTAATGCAGAAACGGCAGTCAAAGTCGCAGGTGCCACAGCTAAGCACTGCATTGTCATACATGGGGAGTCTACTTTTCTTAGCGGGGAAGGGCCCAATCTAGATTATGACCAGGAATGTTTTACCCGGGCAAATGTGGCATATAGCAGAGCCACCAACCTCACCATCCTTGCCTGCCCTTTGAACATGCAAGGAATGCCAGGGGCCTTACAGGTACTTGCTGCCCTCTTACATGGTGTTCAAAGCATTGACACCTATGATGACTGGGAACCAGTGATTCGAGGCTCTCTGGACCTCACGGCAATCCAGGTAGAGAAAGCTACCACTGTCTTCCAACAGGCGCTTCTGCCCCACCAACTATGGTCTGGCCCTCTGCCTGTACGCCTAGCAGAGCATCATCAAGGTAAAGGCGAGGCGCTTACGCCTCGTCTTAGCCACACTGTCGCATTTGACAAAAGCAGAAATATCCAGCCTGCAGGATGGGCCACACCTCCCGGAAGGCACGACCGTGCATGGGCTAGTCTATGGATATGCGGTCGATGCGTCACCCACGCAGGAATGGCTTGTCATAACAGACGGACAACAGACAGGACATTGGCGACTACTCCACAATAGCACCGGGTTGTGTTTGAGGCGGCGTGTAAAACTTTTTCTAGAGTCCACATGTCCGCTTTGATGTGTGTAGTATCTGTTCTTATCACTTCGTACTGAAGCGCGTCGGTCCAAAAGGAGAGCGAGCTACCTAACAGGGGAGCTGGGAGATGAGAACTGGCGACTTTGTAGCGCAACTTTAGGACGCGGAAAAAGCTGTGGAGCTGGAAGCTGAGAACTGGCGACTTTGTAGTACAACTTTAGTACGCGGATGAGTCGGCTGAGTCATCTCCCGCGGCTGCTCTGGCGCCCCTGCAGCTGAGTCATGTCTCCCGACCACCCGGCTCTCTTGAGAGGTTGACAAATTTTAGCTACTTTGCTTACTCATAAGTGGCTGCCACAAAAAGAGTCATCGTGACGTTCGTATGTGTGTACTTCACCTTCATGACAAACAATGTTCGCTTGGAATACACGAGTCGCTTGTCACGATCGTGACGTCGTTTACTCTCAGGTCGCCCTGTTCGTGGAAACTTCAGTGTGAGATGTACGTTCTTCAGTTCTATTTGAACCTCTTCAGCGTTGTACTTGCACAACTAAGGTTGACGTTGCGCTGCCACTGCATCGACGCATCTACGTCTACACCCCCTCACCTCTCTACATTTACATCTTCACACGCTCACATCCGCAGATCTACCTCTCCACCTCCATACATCTACAGACCTATATCGCACCTGCACATCCACATTGTCACTCCTTCACATCCACCCTCTCTTTCTCTCTTTCTACAAATCTTTTCGACAGTGCTGGACAATTACATGTCTCGCTCTCGGGCCAACTGTCGTCTAGTTTTAGTATGGGTGCATAGTGATTTTTGTTGTGACTTGTCAAGCTTTTTGGATAACTCACCCATGAATGGCATGGAGAAGAGTGAACCGATGCTAGAGGCAAATGGAAGTGAAAAAATGGTGAGTCAGCATCAAACCATGTTCGTCGGTACATGAAATCATGTTGGGCAAAGGTTTCATGTTTGACAATTACACAAAAATGTCGGCAAGGACAAATGTTGGGCAAACGCGCCCCACAACTGTTTTATAGAAAAGTGTAACCCCAGAGTGTCGGCTCTTGAAAAATGTCAAGCAAGAGTGTCAAACACAGTTCCGCTGTTTATGTTGGTGTATGTCATGTGTGTGTTCTTTTCAGGCTTTCGATTTCCAAACCCTGGTTGCAAAAAACAACTTCCTTAAGTATACACTCAAGCGCGGGGAGCACTTTATCAAAGGGAACGCAGCTGAGATATGCCATCATTCGATACCAACTATCATCACTGAGTCGAAAAATTTCTCGTTGAGTTCAATTTATGTTTCCCTACCAACCTCGGAGTTTCAAGTAGCGCCATCAGCAGTGTACGGCGTGTTTTGATGGCCATGAAACTGAGCATCCTTTTGGTTTGCTTTGCGCGCATTCCCACAGAGAAGAACATCAGTAGTATTTTTTTGCGTTTTCAAGACCACTCCACCCTTTTTTGGACGCTTGCGTTTCATGGAACTCATTTGTCGGTACAGAAAGCTGTCGAAAAGCCGCGCATGGTGATTGGGGCAGAACTGAGGCTGCTCTCCCCATTTTTTGGAAAAGCAGAAGTGTTAGAAATCGATCAGACAGTCTTTCCAGTATTGAAAGGGACCGCCAAAAGACGGGCGTCACATGTGGATTTCCATCTCACCTACCCATTTTTGGTGAGTTCCAGCTTCCACTCAGCTTGAACATGATAGCCAAACCCCGTGCAGAGAGGTGTTGCTACCCCAGGTTCTCATAGAAAAACAGGATACAGTATATACGGTGTATATACTTATACTGTATATTTTTATTTGGCAGTATGACCCCAAGCGCATGGAAGACAAAATTGAAAATTTGATAAAGAACTGGGTGTGTTTTCGATTGCACAGGTCCGCCATGCATATTTCACGAAAATGGTCAAATTGGTTGAGAGGCAGGTCGTTGTGTTGCTGCGAAACATTGATCTACTGTATTTGCGACTTTTCACTCGGCAAAGGATGTTGGCCCAGGTCTTTTTTGTTCAAGGCGTTCCGTCCATTTCCTCCCATGGCGTGGCCATGGACACATCCGGTCAACTGCCTTAAGTTTTGCGACGAGAATTTGCACTGACTGATTGAAAACCATTTGTGTGTTCCATTGTGCGCACCTGGGTGTATCCATTTATTTGGTGCAAAAAGGTCAGGTTGTCCCAAATCTTCCTGAAACAAACCAAATGTTATTGGGTGAACAGGCTGCAACCTCGACATGTTTTGAGGCAACTGGTGTGTTCTTGCTGCACATCCTGCCTGTCTTGTGCTTCGAGTGGAGGATGACCTGGGAACCGAAAGGGCTCTCTGGCGGCTTTGCTGAAAGGCAGAATGATTTTAGACGGGCAGGAGGGTCCATTGTGTTGCAAAAAGACTCGTTGTCAGACTTTAGACATGCTAGTGGGTATTGCAAAAAAGAAACTCAATGACACTTGTCAAGACCAAAACGTTCTCCCTTTCATCACCAGATTTTGTTCCAATCTAGATTGATAGGCTGGCAAACAATTGCTTTTGCTCATGACCTGGTTTTGTGTTGTGCAAACCAATCGTGTAAAGTCGATGGCTGAACGGAACAAAGTCGATGGGTTTGCAAAATCATTTCAGAGATTGTATATTTCTTCAATCCCTCCAGTCGACTGTCCATGTCCTTCACACCCATTGTTCCAGCATCTGAGGTTGCTTAGATGATCCCTACTACTTTGATGCCACGTCCTTAGTCAGAATGGCCCTAATGGCATGTATCAGTCAATCATAAGGCCTTGGAAAGTACCTGAAAGCGAGCGGAAATGTTTCACTTTCCATACTCTTTTTTGTGGGCTGCGTTCAGAGACACCCAAATGGTTAATTCTCATGGGTCCTGAACCTCTCTCTTTTGTCTCACGAGATTTTTGCACTCCTTGGCATGCACTTTTTGACTAAAAGCCAACATGAATGTGCGGTTTTTCTTCGGGCCAGTCGGCGCAATCCACCTTGAATTGAATTGATCAAGCATGCTGTACGATTTGGTAGTCGGCAATTTCATTTGGACTACACTTACAAAAGAATCTATCAGGGCCTGCATAGGATCAAAAAGCCTTGGAACTTGCTGTTTTTTTCTCTTGCCCACTTGAGCGGTTGAGCGGGTTCACTTGTGGAACCAACTCTTTATTCATCTGATACAGATGGACACGCTTGACGAGCCTCTTTACTGTAAGATCTGTAACTTCTTTGCATTCTGAAGGAATGATGCCCTGTTGCTGGCAGGTCTTCTTTCTATACTTGGGCCGGGGCACGTGCAGGTTGAACGAAGGAGACACCACAGGCGGGGCGGGGCGTTTCATGTTAAACGCTGGGAACATGCCGTTCCTTACATAATATGGTACACCACACACAGAATTGCATGGGGCTTCAGTGCTCACATTGCTTAATCGACGGTCTATCATCTATCATGTTTAATTACCTTTCTCAATCATTGGGGGGTGGGTGCAATCTCCATTTAAGAAGTCACAGATCTGTGTGAATTGAGAAGCATCAATGTAGAGAAGCCTATAGAGGACGACATTGGATCATCCAGCCTCTGAAAGTTCTCGCTGGAATCAAAAGGTATTTCATGTCTTGTTTGAATTCTTAAGATTTGCAGAGGGTCTGTCGTTAATTGAACTGGGGCGGTGCCACTTTGGGCTTTCGCCGCTTTTTGCGCTCGAACTTTTCTTGGTCTCGGGGCCCCGCCGGTCCTGTGCAGGCAACGGTGGCGGCACAACCAGCAGGTGCTTTGAATGAATCAACCATTTGTATCCATTTGTCGGAAGGAAGAGTTGCGTCCTGGTGTATCACGCAGAGACTTTCAAGCTTGATTGGTTTGCTGCTTTTGGTTCACAGGAGCTGTTCCATCTTTCTGTGGCGCCCCTTTTTTCCATCTTTCCGGGGCCCGGTCGGCTTGGCTCAACACCGGCGGGTGTTCTGAGGCATGACCCTCAGCTGACCCTTGAAGCATGCGGGGGCCCTTGGGTCTCCCCGGTTCCCGGCGAGATCGACATGAACAGTTCTTGTGCTGAAGCGAAAACAGCTCAGCTGCAGCAACTTCCTCAGCTCGAAGACATTGGGTTGGTGTTGACGTAATAAAAAGGAAGATCAGACTAGCGAAGATTGAGTCGCCGGTCGCCGAAAATCTGTGGTTCAGACTCTTGCACAAGGTGTGAGTCTGTGATGGTGCTTGGTGTTTGGATGTAACAGGTGGTAGAAAAGTGCTTAGATGACAGTCGATACCGACAAGATCGGACAGGAAAAACTATCATCGTTGTTCTTCAGGGCTGCCTGATGTTTGTTGGTGGAATCTGAGAGCTCGGCATGGCAGCCTTCACCCGCCCACACCAGGCTTGGACGTTTGCTTCTCCATCGACTACTGTACTGGCGTGGAATTTCAAGACAAGCATCAGAGGTGTGAAGTTTGGAACAGGCCGGGAATCGAACGCCCAACGCAATCCATGCTCATTGTTCATGTAGGATATGAGAGACACTTTGTTCATGAAGGCACCAGTCCAGCCGTACCCCACCGCCACCCCTCATGCGCCATCCGTCAGCCGTGTCTGCATCTCCCCCTTGAAAAGACTTGGTTGTACTCAGCCAAGTGCAGTGACAACGGGCTCTGTCATGGCCTTTCATTCACCGTGAGTGATTGCAAAAGCACTGAGCTTGGAGTCTGAGATGTTTCATTTTTTGGCCAACTAGCAGATGCACCAAAAGCGCAAACTCTTCCTAGCCAAAGTTAGGCATCCAAAGTTCGGTGCCGTCGGAATGCTCCGGGATGCGTGCGCCGATGACACGCCTGGGACGGCAGGAGCATCGGCTTCGTCCGGGGCTCCTCCTCATTTGCCTGTGTTGGACAGAAGGTGGGAGCCGAGCATGGGACATGGCGCCCTACTGAGTCGAACAGGTCTAGGCGACGAGGTCTTGGGGGTTAAGGCCGACCAGCAAGTAGTGAGTACAAGAACAGACGGAGGCCTAGCCAGGGTGGCATCGATTGTGCTCTTCTTACATCGGTTCCACAAGAGAACAGAGAACAGAGAAGAAAGCAAAGCTAGCAAGTAAAGACAAGCTAGATCCAAGGACGCAGAAGAATGGCTCCAAAATGGCTCCAAAGACTTTCGTTTGACCACCCAAAGAAGTGAACACATGAACCGTCGTTGTTTCTCCGCCCCATTCTCCGACCCTCCGTCTCTTTCCCGGGTCCACACTTTTTGGGAAGCTGACCGGCCCTAGGGGGGCTCGGAGGTGAAGGGTCAACGAAACAGGTCAGCCAAGCTGCATGCAGTACGCTTCATTTCATGCATTGCGAGCCCATTTGCCAAGCTGCCCAGCTGCCACAGGAGGTGGATTGCAGCTATTTTGCTGGCAAGAATTGCACTGCAGGTGACCTGGCCCTGGAGTGAAGTTTCCCTCACAATCCTGGAATCAAGTGAATTGTGCGAGGGCTTCTTCAAGCTTAATTGAATTCCTTGAAGCCTGAGCTTTCCTGCATCCCAGCTACTACAGTAGCCGCTACTAGTAGCCTAATTGATAATCTAATAGCTACTATACTGAGATACTGAATTAATCAGAAGGGCACGCCATGAGGCCTGCGTTTTGGAAACTTGTATCTAGGCTTAAGTTGTATGGAATTGCACTGAGATTGTTTAGATATTTACTCAAAAATACAATAGACATCACACAAAAAAATAGAAAACTCTAAAACCAATACAAAAAGCAAAAACCTTGGGACAACCAAAAGAACCATAAAACCAATAACACAAATTCTCAGAGACTCTTGGCAGGCCCCCCTCTTCCCGAAGACTCCCCTGATTTTTTTGGTTTTCCAATGTTTTTCTTTTCTTGATGTTTTTTAGTTGTTATTTTTTTTGCCTTTTAGTTTTTTGGCATTTTCCTTCCTAAGACAATCTGTGTGCTGCTCCTGTCTCGTTTTCCGTTAGTCTCACCTAAAGTCATTTGTACTTTCTTCTTACAATTGAAAGCGTCTGAGCCCAACACTCCCTTTGTCCAAATCTCATGCACAAGTCTGTGTGCATGGATTTCTGGTTGGTATCAGTGCCGTTGCATTTCCAAGCAGCTTGACGTACGAAACTGTAATGAACAGGTGGAAGCTGTAGCTGTGATTCATTTCCAGGGTAGAAATTCTGCATTCATATTGAAATCTGATTTAATTCTAATCTATTTCTAATTCAACTCTAGTTTAATTCTAAATTAATTCTATTTTGCACCTAATTTGATTTTATTTCAGTGGAAACTTATTTCGACTGCAGTTTTAATTCAATTTCTAATTCACATTCAAATTTAAATCTAATTTAATTCTATTCATTTTAACTTATTTCAAATCAAATAGTAATTCAAGCCTAATTTAATTCTAGTTCAATCCAAATTTCATTCTAATCACGTTCTAAGTTAAATAATTCCAACTCGGTTCTAATATGATTTGAATTCAGTTCGTATTCAACTCTAATTCTAAACGAATTATACTTTAATTCAATTTAGCTCGAATTTGGTGCAAAGGAAATTCTAATTCAATGTTGATTAAATTCTAATGTAATTCTGATTCAAATCTAATTAAGTTTTCATTTAATTATCAGATATGGAGGGCAGGGACAGGCTACCACTTAAAAGATCTCAAGAACAAATGCTACAAAACCTTATATTTTACAGTGTTTTCTTGCCCTGGGAGTGCTGGGAACTAGGTCAAAACACTGTTGTTGAGTAGATAGCTAGCTTTTTCTAAAAGTAATCTCTAGGAATAATCATTTCTATGTGGAAAGCTTTTTGTAAGAGCTTTACTTTCAAAAGCTTTCCTCTAAAATTCTGGGAATAACTATTTGTATAGTTAAAAGACCTTATATACAAACTATCGTTTCAGTAGCTGTCCTCTAGATTTTTGTGAATGATTACTTCTTACACTAGAAGCTATATACGCATGTTTTTAATTTTAAAAGGTTTCCTCTAGATTCGTGGGAATAGTATTTTCTATATTTAGAGAGCTTTTATTTCAGAAGCTTTCCTCTAAATATCTGGGAATGATGACTTCTATATTGAAGAGCTTTCTATAATAACAGTTTTCATTTTAAAAGCTTTCCTCCGGATCTCTGGGAAAGTAGATTTCTTGGATGTGTGTGTGTTCGGAGCGACCGAAACAGCGATTTCTGGTGCCCGCCCGCCCTGAAACAAGAAGGTAAGAGCATCAAAAAGCAAAAGGAACATGGTCGTTTTGAGGGAGGCAACATGGCCCAAGGACCCAGCAACGGTTTTCACCCGGAAACTGGGTTGAGAGCACAGCGACGGACAGCACGCACATGAGCGGTACGCGCTGCTTCCATGTCGGGTGCCATCCAAGAAAACCATTTCAAAAAGGGATAAATCCACCTTGTCCACTTGCAGCATACTGAAGAGAACGAAACACCCTCCTCTTATCTCTTTGACTGTAGGAAGAATCAAGGCTTCTCAATAGTTCATGAAGTTGTGTTCAAGGCATCTTGACTTCATACCTTGGAGGTAGCTTTTCACAAGCCGGTCGCAGCGTCGCAGCGCTAAGAAATCTACGACCGGAACGCATCGGAGAAGCTCGAACGATTGCATTCTGCGTGTCAGAACCCAAGGGAAGAACGGGCTGACTAGATCTTCCATCTTGTCAGAGGAGATGTCCGATACGTGTTTGTTATTCAATCTATTGTTCGATGATATGCCTGGTCGTGAGTCATGGGCGATTCAGTCAAGACAGACTAAGAGAATGGTAAGAGAATGGAGCAACGACTGCTTTCCGCTTGGCACAGTCACTGCTGTTGGACAGACTTGTGGACTTGGTTCAAGTTCCAAGCGGATGCGCCATAATTTCGGCCCTGAAAACAGTGACAGATTTCTCTCACTCTGTATGAGCTTGTGAACCCTTTGTTCATCAGCCCTGTGTGCTCAGGCCCAAATGCTTGCACGGAAGTGCAACCTGTTTGTCCATCAGATTTCTCCTTTATGGCCACCCAGATTGGCGGTGCCTGGCCAGCATGGCAGTGCACAAGCGGACAGGTCACATTGTAGAGGGATGTAATAATATTGGTTTTTGATGCAAGAGCAGGAGAGCCTATCGAATCTCTAACTTGGAGGCATGCTGTTGTGAAAAGATAGCAGAGGACCAAGTCCTAGAAACTTGGCTAACGGGGATGATTCTACAGACAGACAGACAGACAGACAGAGAGAGAGAGAGAAAGAGACAGACAGACAGAGAGAGAGAGAGAGAGACAGACAGACAGACAGACAGACAGACAGACCGACCGACCGACCGACCGACCGACCGACCGACAGACAGACCGACCGACCGACAGACCGACCGACCGACCGACGGACCGACGGACCGACGGACCGACGGACCGACGGACCGAC